AGCAGGATGCAAATTGCCTCCACATAAAAGAGGAAGAGGAGGAACAGCGGACCATTTTGGGCGGAGAGCAGCTCGGCATGAAGGAGGAGACAGATGTCACCAGCTTTTCATTAACTGCAGTTCATTTTAAGAGTGAGGATGATGAAGAGACACCTCTGTTCTCACAGCTTCATCAACACCAAGTTGAAGTCTGTGATCTTCCAACCAGCAGCTCAGGTGACCACATAGAATCATCAACTGGTGACGGAGAAAAAGACACAAAAATCCCAGATCTAAATACTTATAGAGATTCTGATTCTTCAGAAACTGAAGTTAGTGAAGATGATGAAGAGGATAATGATGTGAACAATCCTGAGTCTCAGCTGAAATTTTTATCAGGCTTTGGGTTAAAAACTGAACACACTGATGAAGACTGGGAGTCTTCATCCAGCAGGGTCTCTGAGTCAAGCGTCACTCCCGATGATCAACTGCATATAATAGGTTTGTATCTTTTTATTATTTCTGTTGAATGTGATTATGTTACAATTTAGTCTGAGCTTTCTGGTAGCTAATGAATTTATCTTCCTAGAAAGGACATGCAACCATAGACATAATATACGTAGACCCCTTGAAGACTGGCAGCGCTGCCTGTTGGAGGTGATGTATCAGTGCGGCCTTCATCTTGGATGGGTCTCTCACGTGCCCCCCAGTGCATTTCTTTGTACTGAGGAAGCTGTATGCCCAATTAAAATAATCAAAACTCCCCGATTTATTTACCCAATTTTCACACGGTTTGGTTTGTTACAAACAGCAGAGATGTAGTTATGATACAGGACACTTTCACACATTAAAAATACATGCTTTGATGCTGAAATACTTTGTTTCATGCTCTTTAACAAAGATAGATGTATGGTTTGGCATATTAATAAATGTCTAAATGAATACATTTTATATGTTTAAAAAGAAACAAGTTTGATTGTTCACTTTTTAATTTATTTTACTCTCTCTTACACACACACACACAATCCTGAGACATTTGTACACACCAACAATATTTTCTTCATATGTGCGTTGTGCATGCACACACAAAACTTAAACTGGGGCTGGTGAGCTAAAAGCCTTGAAAAAGAACTGGTTTGCACAGCTTCTTGTGTGTGCTGCCACTCTGTAACTCCAGGGTAGTTAATTTTGCGATGTGGTGCAGCCTGAGTTTGTGAAATACAGATATGACAAATGACACTAGCATGAAATGATGTTTCTCAATTCTGAATTGGGTTTCTGCAAAGTGCTCACCGAGTAAAAACGCATCTTCTGAACCAATCTCAGCCGAACAGAATGGTTGACGAAGGACACACTGACACCTTGTTTCATTGAGTTTTGGCGAATCACACGCTGACCACCTTCGCTGTTCCCTCTGAGGGGATCATCAGCCCACCATTGTTTTTAGGTTGAAGCAAGTGGTAGCTCTGGTGAAAGGATGAGGGTACAGCAACTGTGACAAGGTTTGTACGGCACACCTCACAGGACAGGCTTTTCAGAATTTTTCTGACAACAAACCCTGAAATGTAGACCAGGGCATTGTCTACAAGATCACCAAAGCAGGTGGGCAGGTAACTGTGGTCACAAATGACTCCAGAAGTGTTTGTAAATGGGGACGGAAGCTCTTCCTTCGCTATTAAAACAGAGTGCATGTCTGCAGCTGATAGGGACACAGTCTCATTGCCAGACCCACTTGGTGAGACACAACAATGGACCATCAGTGGAAAATGCCCTGGAACTGCCCTGCAGTGGGATTGTTATTCCAGCCTCCTAAAAAAAATGTACACACTTAGATTACAGAGATGTTTGATGAGGACAGTCAAAGCCATAAAAGACGTATCTTCTGAGGGTAAGTAAGGAAACTGTAAAACCATTTTTCCCCACAGGTAGGCTATAAAAAGATATACCCTCATGTCTGAAGAGGTCTATGATCAAAACATACTGTATGTTTTGTTATACAAGTCACAGTTTTTTGTATAATTTACATACCCTGTGACTTATAGGCTGAAGCGACGTATTTTTCGGTTTTTTCCCATATTTATAAACCAATTTTTGGCTGAGATATGACCCTTTTTATTCATTCTGACTGAAAAATTTTGAACTCTAACATTTTTCAACCACTAGATAGCAACAGAGTAGTAGGGCATGCCGTTGTATTATGTAATAGGTAAACGTTGCTATAATGACAAATTCAAAAAAGTTCAAGACATATACTTTATTTATTATACTTTATACTTTATTATTTTTGTCTTGAACTTTTTTGAATTTACCATGTCCTGGATGACTGAAAATCTTCACCAGCTATTAATGACTCAGTCGGCTTGCCATAGCCTCCCACCGTCGTCCAGTTCGCCTGGAGCAACAACAGTCAAATCAGTTTCATTTCGCTGTGCCGCCCTGGCGAAATGCAGCTGATTTGATCATTGAAGTGCATTTTTTAAAGTAAAAGTTCAACTGAGACACAACTTTGCTATAATGTCGAGCCAACAAATAATTGTTTTAGGTGCTTAGCTTGTTAAATTTCTAAGAAATACACAGCATGCCTCCTTCCTGAGCAGGTCAGGGATCATCCTCTACAATGTGTCCAAGTTGATGACAAAGTCCATGACTGACAGAAACTTTCAAAATAAACCATTTCATCAATATGATAATCAAGGTCAAGGTTATTTTTTGTCATTCACATGTGGTACACATGGTGGAACGAAACTGTGTACACAGGGTCCCAGTTACATCCAACAAAAATACAAATTGTAAAGAAAAACAGTAATAAGATCTAAGATATACGCTAAACTAAAAATACCACTAAGCACTAATAGTACCAAACATTGTGCCAAACAACAGCAGCACAAACATGAGTCTGTGTGAGCAGATTAGGACGAATGAAAAGAGCAAAATGAAATCAAAAAATCAGCAGCATGAGATCAGCATCATGGATAGTCAGCAGCACATATCAACAATCAAGTGGCACTACAGCAATTTTTTTTCATAGTAATTTTCACAGTGATAATCCTGGGATTCATGAGTCTAACAACCTCAGGGTAGAAGCTGTTCCTCAGCCTAGTGGTTCTGCACTTAATGCTCGTCAACCTCCTGCCTGTGGGAAGCAGGGCAAAAAGTGTGTGTGCTGGGTGAGTGGGGTCCTTCATGATGCAGGTGGCCCTCTTCCTACATCTGTAGGTGTAAATGTCTGTGATGGTGGGGAGACTGACTCCAACAGACTTCTGTGCAGCCTTCACAACTCTGCAAGGCTTTTCTTCATCATGGCAAAATAAGACACCTGAAGAGCACCTAGTAATTTTAGTTATTTATTTTATAACTTACTAGTGAAAGGTAATCCCACGTGATCTATTTTCAGTACTGCGCCGGTTATTGCAACCATAGATTGAATAAAATACTGGTATAGCTGCTCGCTTTGTGTTTACTCCTGTTGACTTTTAGAGAGAGGAGAGACCCATCCAATATGGCAGTGACGCAGGATGCGCTCCAACATGTATTGAGGCATCTACGTTTATATATTTTTGCATGAAATTCGGTGTTTATATCTGGTCTTGCCAACAGATTCAATAATGTATGAGAGGTTACAAACCCTAAAGTGCTGATTTTAAAGCCCTTTGTTAAACTAAATATTTACATTTTTAGTTTTGAAACCCCAAATTACCACCCGAACATTTAAAATCGTTGATCACTACATGGACAAAACCAGTCACAGGGTATTATTTCCACTCTCCTGGAGGTGGGTGTGAAGTAGAATGTGGGGATCTTGGGAGGAAAGAGAGGGTGTTGAGGCACCCACCTTTTCTTGTTGCTTAACTGCATTTTAAAGAACCGTTTAGGAACCATCTGTAGCACCAGCCTGGTTAAACACTTGAAACATTTTTGTTAAAAGAAAAAAAAAAACACATTTAAACAGTTTGTGCTGAGTTGGTGGGGTGTTAAAGCCACAGCTTAAAGTGTTGTAAAAGGAAAGAGCTGGGGCTAAGCACCTCTTTGGCTCTGGTTTAGCACTGGAACCTGTTTGGAGGAGAAAAAATAACTCTGTGATCTGAGCAGTAAAACAAATCCTGTATGTGTGAATATAAAGCTACAGTTCTCATTACTGTATTTTACATGTGTTCCAGTGGTTCCTGCAGATGTTCAGAAGTCAGTGCTGATTAAAGAAGAAGCTCCTGAAGAACAGTGGCCTGATGTGGACCAGCAGGACACAAATTGCCTCCACATAAAAGAAGAAGAGGAGGAACAGTGGACCATTTTGGGAGGAGAGCAGCTCAGTATGAAGGAGGAGACCGATGTCACCAGCTTTTCATTAACTACAGTTCATTTTAAGAGTGAGGATGATGAAGAGAAACCTCTGTTCTCACAGCTTCATCAACACCAATTTGAAGTCAGTGATCTTCCAACCAGCAGCTCAGGTGACCACATAGAATCATCAACTGGTGAAGGAGAAAAAGATTCAAAATACCCAGATCTAAATGCTTATAGAGATTCTGATTCTTCAGAAACTGAAGTTAGTGAAGATGACGAAGAGGATAATGATGTGAACAATCCTGAGTCTCAGATGAAACTTTTGTCAGACTCTGGGTCAAAATCTGAAGACACTGATAAAGAATGGGAGTCTTCTCCCTGCTGGGTCACTGAGTCAATTGTGAACAGGGTCCACAACAAAAATGGACTGAAGAAATTTTGTTGTGATGTTTGTGGGCGAAGGTTCAGTTTTAAGGGACATTTAAATAGTCACATAAGAATCCACACAGGACAGAAGCCATTTTCTTGTGATCTGTGTGAACGAAAGTTTAACGAAAAGGGAGTTTTAAACAGACACATGAAAATCCACACAGGACAGAAGCCCTATTCTTGTGATCTGTGTGAAAAAAGATTTAGCGAGAAGGGTGATTTAAAGAGACACATGATGATCCACACAGGACAGAAGCCATTTTGTTGTGATCTGTGTGAAAAAAGGTTTACTGAAAAGAGTAATCTAAAAAAACACGTGAAAATCCACACAGGACAGAAGCCATTTTGTTGCCATTTATGTGGCCGACGGTTTACAAGAAGAGACAGTTTAAACGGACACATGAAAATCCACACAGAACAGAAACCCTTTTCTTGTGATATGTGTGAGAAAAGGTTTACTGAAAAGAGTAATTTAAACAGACACATGAAAATCCACACAGGACAGAAGCCATTTTGTTGTGATCAGTGTAGTCAAAAGTTTACCGAAAAGGGCAGTTTAAAGAAACATATGATGATCCACACAGGACAGAAGCCATTTTCTTGTCATTTGTGTGAACAAAAATTTTCCCTAAAAGGCTATTTAAATGCACACCTGAGAATCCACACCGGACAGAAGCCTTTTTGTTGTGATTTTTGTGACCGAATGTTTACCAGTAAGGCCAATTTAAACAATCACATGGGTATCCACACTGGGGGGGAACTAATTTGAAAGAACTCCTAGGCAAGAAGCCGCACACACACCGGTACTAATATATTTAAATTAATTTTTTTGCATGCCTGAATCTGATAATGGACAACATAATTTCACTAGTTTTGTCTGAGAAACATTTGTCTGTCTCCAACACTCATAAAAATGTATTTACACTCAACTGTTATGCTTTTTCCTTGTTAAGTACATAGCATACAGACTGCAGTTGTAATACTCTAAGATTCTTCAGTGTAAATGTATAATGCTGAATAAATATCTAAATAAATTATGCATACCAACCAATTTTTAATTTGTAGTCCATAATTTGTATGTCTGCATCACAACAAAATTTGGGCACTAGGGATATAAGGGCTTGTATCAACTAACAAAACAGAGGGATCAGGCTTGAAAGGATGTGTGGCAGGTTATAGTTGGTATAAATAGAAATGGTAATGTTCTAACAAGGGAGGAGAGTGATTGAAATGTTGAAGAAGTAGTTTCTAGAACAGGTGGAATGCCCCCATTGCTTTGGAAGAAATCTGCCTTGAGGGCCCTGCATGCTCCATTCCAAGAAACAATATCTGCTGTCATTGATTTAGCTGCGTGACGAAAATCGTGTAATTTTTTTCTCAGAGCAGCTTCGCCTGCCCCATTTAGACACAAGGCTTGGGTCGAACTTTTTCTCACGAGCGTATGCGCCAAGAATTGATTGGTGAGAAGTTTGTGGGCGTGTTCATCATTTCGGAAATGCTCTCAGACATTCAACTGTACGATTCTTCACACTAAATTAGTCAAATGGCCAAAAACTGAATGGAGATTGCACAGATGTTGTGTATGGAGGAGTTTGTCTGCTGAAAAGTGTGGCGCTAAACTACCCACCCCCCATGTCCTGTCTGGCATTGTAGCACTCAGAATTGCTGTCTGAGTGTCAAGGTTGATGCCCAACAGATTTTCTTTCACAAGTGGAGCATTACTGCTGGCCATAATGCTCCAATTGATATATAAATGAAACTTTATTTGAATTTGCTTTCTTTGTTTCAGATGTAATGGACACAAGGATGAAAAACAAAGGAGAAAAAAAAGGCATAAAAGTGGGGAAAGGGTTAAAAGGAAAAGAAGGAATAGGAGTAGAGGAGACAGAGAAAAGACAAAATCAAGAAACCATTACAACAAACAACATATGCGTATGAACTGTAATGATAGTTGTAACATCATTAAAACGTATATGGTGTCTTAGAATCTAGCTGTTTTTGTTACCTTTTTTTTTTAGCCATCCTATTAGTTTAAAAAAATAAAAAAACTGGAGTATGACTTTTTATAACTGTTTATTGTTGTCACTGTTGTCCATTGTTGTCATCATTCTTTGTTGAAATCAGGTCTCTCTTGTAAATTAGTCCTCGAGGCTCAATGGGATTTACCTGTCTAAATAAAGGTTGAATGAATGAATGAATAATGGGGGTGGGGACCCACAGATCCAACCCCCAGGACATGACGACAACACAGGGAAGACCAGAGCCACAGATACTCAGTGGCACCCAAGCCCGGAGCCCCGGGAGTTCCCCAACAGGGACAACCCCCACCCCACCCGAGAGAAGCAGAGGTGAGCCCTGGGCGACCCCACAATGCAGAAGCCCCAGAGGGCTGCAGCGATGAGTCCACAGGCCCCGCTAGGTAACCAGCTACGTCGAAGCAGAGCCTCGTGGTCGTACCACCCCCCAACAGAGGCCCAGCAGAACCAGGGCACCCGTGTCCCCGCAAGCTGCCACCAGGGCGGCCCGGCACACACCCAAGCACCCAGTCGCTGAGAGCCACCAACGCACCGGAGGGCAGGGGGATCAGCCACCGGAGGGGAGTGTGACAGGGGGAAGTATAAGCCCCACATTAAATGGAGGGCCCAAGATGATCCAGGAGAGAGGACTGCCAAAAATCCAACCTGACACATAAACAGGCACACACAGATACAATCAAACATTCCCACCCTCATCATCCAACATAAACATACACAAAAATGGACGTTCTACACCCACTCATACTCCGCATACACACTCTATACTCCCAGGTCCTGGTAAGGCCCCACCAGAGGGGCAACCCATCCCCAGACCTAGGAGACTATTCCCTTCATTCTGGGGTGGAGAAAGCAGACCGCCCAAACCTCTGCATAAGCAAAGCAACCCATCAGCCTGGATGAGGGCCGGGCACCACCCAAACGATCCGAGCCCAGACGCTGACCCTAACCCCATCCAGAGACAGAGCCAGAAAGAGTCCACGTGGCCCCCATGAGCCAGCCAGCCAAAGCAGCCCCAGGGTAAAACAGTCCCAACCCCCTAGCAAGCTCCAATCCCAACTCTGCGGACCCCCCACAAGCCCCACATAGGCTTCCCTACAGGGCCACCCCAAACCAGCATAAAAACATCAAACACGCACCCCCAAACACAGATGCCACAAATCTCCCATCCACAGGGGGTGACCCTCTAAGGACAACTCCAACCCTGAAAAGCCAGTGAGAGCACAAAAGCCCAGCGTGATCTCCGCACACAGCCCCACTCAAGATACCCCCTGCCGCAGCTCCCAGTCACACAATGTGCCGCAACAACAGGACAACAGCCCGACATGGTACCAGCCCAGCACACAGATGCAACCCTTGCAGACGCCACCAAGCCAAAAAACCACACAGAACCCCCTGACCCAACACCAGGACAGGATCAAACACCCCCCCCCCCCCCCCCCCCCCCACCCCCGGACCGGAACAAACCCCCCCCCCCCCCACCACCACCACCACCACCACCACTAAGTATCCTTGGCAGGAGTCCCACACCTGGTGCCAACAGCTCCCACCATGCCCCCCAATGATACAAACATCCACGTCACCATCACTGCAATGACATCCCAGGGATAACAATCACCAAGCCCAGCCCCACCGCCACCACCCATCCAACCAAGACATCAGCGGCACCACACTTGAAAAGGATGCAACCCCACTCTACAATCCTCTGTGCCCCCCCCCCCCCCCCCAACCAGCAGGAACACACACCGCGAATGCCACACCAGGCCCACCAGCCAGTGCTTCATCGAAGCAAAGCCACGACCCCGATCGCCGCCACACAGAGTGGAAAAAAAAAGTAAAGTATGGCGCTTTCTTCATGATAGATTTGTGGCCGAACGGCAGATGCAGGTGTGTGGAGTGGAGGCCCTGGCAGAAAGAAACCCATGCATTGATGTATACCACAACTGGACAGGTTTCCCAAGAGCTCTGCGCATATATCTCGTGGACTATGAAAGGTGTATGCAAAAACAAACATCCCACAATTGCGTGACCTTGAGTCAACTGTTTGGCTTTGAATAGAGTATGCTGGGCCCTTTAGGTAGAGGAATTTTCAGTACTTGAGCATATTATGCACGAGTTATGGTAGAATGGAGATGGATTGATGGATGGAGGCCTCATTCTGAGTAATGAGGATGTTGCTTCGGTCAATATGGGTGTAGAAAGAGTTGAGTCAAACAGCAAAGCTCCTGATTTACTGGTTTGTCTATGTTCTAACCCTCACATATAGATGAGGTTTGGATCTTGACCGAAAGATCAAAATCCTGGATACAAGTAGCTACTACTTTGTATCAAAAGGAGTCAGCTGAGGTAGTTCAGCCATCTGGGGCCTCGTTAGGTCTATCGCAATAAACAATAAATCAATTAATCGCATGATAAATGAAAATTATTGACCTCATTTTCATTTATCGGCTTTATCACGTCTTAGTGTCTCTCTTTCTACTGAAGGCACTGGATGACAAAAGGCTCAACTCCAGTGCTTTTCACTGACCCCTCCCTTTCTCTTTTCTTTTGAAAAGCCGTTTTAACCATCCAAAATCGTGTTTTTGGATGGTTAAAATCAGCTAAGCTGAGAAGCTAAGCTACGAGCTAAGCTAAAAGGCCAACATCGGGGAAAAAACCTCTGTCTTGTCGAAGCTACAAAATTCACGTTTGAAACCCATGATTTTGTGTAAAAAGTTGTTGTTCTTTGCAAAAAGAAGCTGAGAACTTGTTTAATGATTTTTTTATTAAAAGCTTTGTATGGCAAATGCTATGCTAAAAAACTCAAACCACACCGAGCGTCCCCCATTTTGAGAACCAAAAAACAGGAATGAGAGTCAGCCCATGCCACGTCAAGAGGCCTTTCTCCCATTTCCTCAAAGAGACACGCGGCTCACTTCCTCTATCTGTCCTTCAGTTCCAACAGTCTTATACTGCCCTTCAGTGGTCAAAAAAGGTACTACACACAAAAATTAACCAACATGCCTTCTTAAATTTGACATGACTAATTATTGTCAAATTTCAAATGATATTATCATTTATTGCAATAATTTCTGAGCCAATTAATTGCCCCTTCAAAATTTGTTATCGTGACAAGCCTAGGCCTCATGCCAACAGAGTGTACATTTTTCATACTAAAGTTTGGCTCAGGGACAAAATAAAACTGCACTGAAATATTCTGATTCAGAGTGAGATGGAGGAGACCCCTGAAAAGAGAAAAGCTGAGAGAAAAATAATAATAATGGTAACAAATATAAACAAATTATAAACATAAACAAGAATAACAATACTGAAAGTTAGGTTGGCTCAGTTCATGCTTGTTACTCTTAGAGGTTTTTTTAGCTACTTGGGTACTACTACTACCTACTTGTTGCTGGGGAAACAACACTACCAGCCTGATCAAGAAAGCTCATCAGAGACTCTACTTCTTCAGGCGGCTGAGGCGAGCTGGTCTGGGAAGCTCAGTTCTCACCTCCTAAGGTGTGCAGTGGAGAGCATCCTGTGCTCCAGCATCAACGTGTGGCATGGAGGCTGCACAGCTGCAGAAAGAAAAGCTTTGCAGAGAGTGGTGAAGGCTGCACAGAAGTTTGTTGGAGTCAACCTCTCCATCATCACAGACATCTATACCTGCAGATGCAGGAAAAGAGCCACCTGCATCATGAAGGACCCCATTCACCCAGCACACACACTTTTTGCCCTGCTCTCCTCAGGCAGGAGGTTAAGGAGCATTAAGTGTAGAACCACTAGACTGAGGAACAGCTTCTACCACTTCTACCCCAATTTTACTATAAAACATTAGTTCAGGCAGCGCAGTTTCTCTTTCTTCGTGAACGAATCCATTCCACTTGATTAATAGGAGAATACTCAGGCCACTAAAACTCCACTCCAGGCTTTCCTGGTTACCCCCAACTCTAAACACGGCAGCCTGGTGCCACGGCAATGTTGTCAGGTGTACGATAATTATCGTATTTGTACGACAATTTTGCCCTCTGTACAATGTACGATGAGTAATCTCAAAAAAGGCCAAATATACTATAATTTGACCATTCCGTGAATGTGTGGTTGTAATCAGTTGTCATCAGCCTCTCGCAACTGTCTGTTTGTCAGTTTTTTTGTGAACCCTGAAGGCATCTGTGTCCGCAAACAGATTTTTTTTTTTTGTTTGTTTTTTGTTTTGAAGAAATAAACTTTTATTTTCACATCGGTCAGCTTGTACCCTAGCAATCCAGTTACACACAAAATACCACTCCGTCACTGTTCATGAACAGAGTTTGTGTTGCCAACCATAAATTATTTCCGACTTGAAACTACAACACGGTAAACTGAGTTCCGATTTCCGGTGAACGTTGAGAATGGAAAGTAGCATAAGAAATGGAAATTAAAGAGATCTAATCTGAGTTTTACATAAAAACTTGAGTGCCCGGTCATTTGAAGCTTTCTAACTTTAACTTCACCGACCACATCGGTCAACAGAGACGGTTGTTAGACCCTGTTGTCTTTAGCTTCAAACCAGAGCAGGAAGCTTTTTTTTTTTTTTTTTTTTATTATTTTTTTTTTTTATTAAAGATTTTAATCAAACATTACAAACATCTGTTTGCCAGGGGTATAGCTATTAGTGTAAAAAAGATAATATTCAAGTACAAAACATAAAAAACCATGAAATTATATTTACAATTTATACAGAGTTTAAATTCACATTAAGCTTTTCCAGAGTTGAGATGGTTTTCATTGCCTTTTGGTTTTCCAGTCCATTAATTGAGGTGATGTATTGAAGAAGTTCTTTGCTGAAATGGGTTATGTTTGGTTTGGAGTTGGACCATTTTTTCTTGTGAATGTGAAACTTTCCCAGGAGAAGTAGAAGTTGGGTGAAGTGCAATAAGTCTTTATTCGTGCCTTTGTCTTCAAAGCATAGTATAATGTCTTTCTCTGTAAGCTGAATTATTTGTCCAGTTTTTTGCTGTATGAATTGCTGCACATCTCTCCAGAATGAGATTGTATGAACACATTGATAGAATAAATGAGAAATCGTTTCTATGTGTAGTTCACAGAATGTACAAGAATAGTCAATGTCAAGTTTAAATCTTTCCAGTGTTTTTTTAACAGGATATACATTATGAATAATTTTATATGAAACCTCTTTAACTTTGTTTGTTATGCAAAATTTTTCCCCATTTAACCACATCTGCTTCCAGTTAACTCCTTCAAATATGGAAGACCAGAAAAATCTACCAGGAGGCAGAGTGATCTTCTGCAGACAAGTTCTTATGAGTTTGTTGGAGCATGTTTTTTTTGTTACATCGATTCCATCCAGCATTACGGGGCTTCTAAGTTGGTCTCTAGGCAAATTGTTCAATTTTGTTCCTTTGAAGAGCTGCCTCATAGATTTTGGTAGAGCATCAAAAACTACAGCATACTCTTTAGGTGTTACAGGAATTTTAAGTCTAGTCAGAAATTCAGTGTATGTCATAAAGGTTCCATTATCATTTAATAGTTGTTGTACGAGCATAATTCCATTTTCCATCCAATTTTTGTAGTAAAGCGACTTGTTCTTAGTGTCCGCAAACAGATGCTTTTCTAAATGTTACCTACGAGTGACGTGTTTGCGTTTGCCTCAGAACAACAGCCATGATTGGCTGAATAGTCCGCTGCGCCCGCCCCATGAGTGAGGAAAAGAAAAAAAGAAAAGAAGAAGAAGCAGAGCCGGTCTGGAAGCGGACCCATCACTACTATAGTGCATAAATAGATTTGTTATTTTGGTTATGACGGGTGTACAATAATTTCCCTCAAAATACGATAATTTTATGTCTCTAGTACGATAATCCTACATTTCTCACCTGGCAACACTGTTCCATGGTCACAATATACGGTGGTCACAGAATATGGTGTACTTTGTAACACCTGCAGTGTTTCTGTGCGTCTCCTCCTGTCTCGGCATAAAACGAGCACAGGTGGAGGAGATGGAGACACCTCTGTGTTACTCGCTTGCCAGGGTTGATCGTAAACATATATTCATGTTAGGAGGATGCTTGAGAGGAGCGCTACGTCTGTAGCATCTTAGCTTAGCAGTAACTGTGACGCTGTCAGACGCTGCAGGTGTAAGAGATTCTGTGTGTTCAGGTGCATTAAAGTTGAAATGTCTTTAAAACCCCACACCTTATTGTCCTCAAGCTTCACAAGAAACATAATTTAGATGAGTAGTGTTGAACACAAGTAAAAAAAAATTTGAGTGGTGGTGTTTTTTATTTCTCTATAAACACAAATAGTGCCGACCTGACGCTCTGTATTAAAGTGTATTAAAGTTAAAACGTCTTTAAAACCCACAGCTGAATTTACACAAATATGGTGAGAAACATGTTTTAAAAGAGTTGAATTAAAGGAATTCTAGGTGAAATGTTGCTTTTTGTACACTAGTGAACACATTTTTTTACGCGCACGCACACACGCACACACATCATTGTGTCCCCCCCACATTATGAATGCTTCTGACGCCCTTGAGTTAAATTCAAAGCAGTCTGCTCCTCAGATAAATAGTGTTAACTTACTTTTTAAGTACATGAATGTTTCTGTTCAGTGCCCTGAGATGACTTGTGTTGTGACATGGTGCTATATAAATAAACTTAGTTGAATTTAATTGAATTGAATTGGTATGATAATTTTTTTCTTCTTGTTTCAGGTGCTACCTTCTTCAGGGGTCGCCACAGCGAACTAACTTGCAACAAGACTTGGCAATTGTTTTTACATTGGATGCCCTTCCTGACACAACCCCAGACCACCGAGCTACAACATCCCTCTGTGAGGAGCAGATAGCTGAAAGCTTGGGCGCCCGGAAGATGGTGGATGTTAAAGGTCTTGCTCAAGGGCCCAGAGTGGCACAAATGAGGGTGGAGGCAGGTGTGGGTGTTTAACCTTTCCCACCCACATTTTGATGTTGTTGGTCCAGGGAGTTGGACCCACGATCTTCCGATAACAGGTCCACTTTCTCTCTGCGCCACCACTCCCAACTGATATGATAAATAGCATGATTAAAAAACAAGGTGTTTTAAAGCATTAAAAAAACGCAAACAGTTCAGGGATAAGTTGTGGTGCTGAGATACAGTTTCGTTCGAGCTCTTATTTTGAAGGGTAACGGATTACAGAAGTGATTTCCTCCTAGAACCGGAAGTTGTTTGGTTCGTATGTTCATTGTGTTCTCCATGTTCCGTATCGACGAACTAAGCCTCTTTTCTCTCGACTTCTGGTGAAATTAGTTTAATTTTGAGTTCTATTCAGCTGTAACTACTCGGTTAGTGTTGAAGGTAAATAGTGATGAACGAAAGCTAACAGATGTGGA